CGTCGGGTGGGGTGGACCGTGGCCAAAACGAAGCTCGGGTCGGCCCTGTTGCGCCAGCTGAACGTCGACACTGTCAACTCTGGCACGCCTGCCGAAGAACAGAGAAAGTGTGAGACCTGGGCGCCAAATCAAAGGGGGGGGGTGTAGCAGTCGTGTACCGTTGGGGTGCTGGTAGAGGCAGTGGTAGTGGTTGTGGCCGGAGAAGACGAAGGCCGGGTTGAGGGCGGACATGAGGTGGTTCGTTGCTTCTCGGCTCACCACGTCCTTGTGCGGAATGTTGGAGTACCGCAACACCCCGTCCTGCAGCTCGTCCCCCTCGAATTCCGACAGCTCTGCACACGACACGCACCACGCACGCACACAACACGCACCACGCGACGCGACCGACGCGACTCACAACACAACACGCACGACACGACACGACACGACACGACACACAAGACGTGAAACACCATCAAAACGAGGAGAAGAGGATTGTGCGTACTCTGCACGAGTTCGTGGGTGATGTCGAGTTCGGAGCAGAACTCCTGGTTTCGTCGAAAGAGCGGGAAGTGGGAGAGCAGGATGGGCCGCCGCTGCAGCCTGTCGGCCTCGCCGGTCTTCAGCTGTCGGACGATTTGCTGCAGCTTGTCCTCGGCGCTCTGGCACAGGTGGCACTCGTCCTCGAACGCCATCGAGTTGAGCATCACGAACGGCTGGTCCTTGACGAAGAACAACCGATTGCTCTCCCCGAACTCAGTCTCGAAGCGCCTACGACTCACACACTTAGATTCCATGGTGCGTGCGTGCGGTGTGTGTGTGTGTGTGTGTGCGTGCGGTGTGTGTGTGTGTGTGTGTGTGTTAGAGACAGCGAAGGTGTACCGGATGCGGCTGGAGGACATCCTGTTGTGGAATCCGATGTCGTGATTGCCCACCACGACCTCGAGCCGTGTCTCTTCCGATTCGTTGCGAAAGAGGCGCCGAAACCGCGCCACGTCCTCCTCCCACTGCCGAAACGTAGTCCACTGATCACCACACACACACACACACAAGGAGCGTTCCGGTGAGTCTCGACCTGTCTCGACCTGGGACCTGGTGTTGGGTGGTGGTACCTTGCCCTCGTCGGTGGCATCGCCGAGGACGAGGGCCGCGTCGGGCGCGAGCACCGAGAGGACCGACTGGAACGCCCGCTCCATCTGCCACTCGCGCCTCGCACGGTCGAACCAGTGGCCAGTCGGGCTGCACAGCATTAAAAATAAATAAAAATAAAAATAAAAATAAAAATAAAAGAAAAGAAGAAGACAGCAACCAAAAGAGAGGAGGAGGGGGTGAACCCTAGGACGTGGGTGTCGGCGACGACCAGCAGGTAGAGGTCATCTCCACCTTCATCATGTTCGGTAGTGTCGCCGGGGCCGGAAGGAAGGGGAGGCGGCACGGGGAAGCTGCCGCAGCGGGCGAGGGCGAGGTAGTAGAGGCCGTACTCGCACAGGAGGAGGGCGGCCACGGGCAGAAGCACCACCAGTACCGGGCGCGATGGATGCCACCACCTCCTTCGCCATGCCACCCCACCACCCCTGCTCATCACAATCTTCTGCTTCAATTCAAATAAAATAAATATGAAATAATAAAAATAAAAAAAGGAAAAAGAAATCACTAACGGTCGAGTTGAAGAAGCCTTGGTTGGTTCTCGGTGGAGTGGACGAAGGGAACGGCCGAAGGCGAGGTGAATCAGTTGCAACAAGAGTTTAGAGCGAAGAGGAAGAGACACGAGACAAGATGGGAAACGTGGTGGCCAGCAAGGCTTTTTTGCCGCCCTACCCGTCGTACGATGAACAGATGGCGACGCTAGTGTGGGCCACCTCCAAACTGGGAGACCGCATTCCCTGCACCTACTGGGCGCACGCAAGGTGCCTCCTCCTCCCCCAACATCTTTCCATTCACTGAATTAATCTAATCTATCGAATTGAATCATCTTTACAAAATCAACCAATGAATGGTGTGAGGTGACAGACCCCGATTCACGATCTTGTTCAGCCACGGTAACGCGGAGGACATAGGACAACTCAACGACTGGCTGGGCTACATGTGCCGCACCTTCTCCGTACGACATGCCTCGGTGGTGCCTGATTGTGCAGAAAGTTGTGTGTGTTGTGTGTGTGCGTGTTGTGTGTGTGTGTGTGTGTGTGGTGTGTAGTTTTGGTGATGACAATGGATGGTATCACCATCGATCAATCAGGTGAACGTGCTGAGCTACGACTATCGCGGCTATGGCCTGCACCCGGGAGTGCCCACGGAGGCGTCGTGCTACGCCGACGTCGAGGGCGCCTACGACCTGCTCACCAAGGAATTCAAGATCCCTCCATCGCGCATTATCCTGTACACGATCATCATCATCATCATCTCCACACTTTCCGCCTTTTCCACCTCGAAGTGTATGCACATACTGACTGCCCGTCTCGTGCTCTTCATCTTCACTCCGTTGGTGTCTCCGTCAACGCCAAATCCAGATACGGTCGGTCGATTGGCTCCGGGCCGACGTGTTATCTGGGCCAGCGCCTATGCGCACTCGCGCGAGCCCAAAGCCGACCCTCGTCGTGGCTCAGTCCCTCCATGTTCTGCCGGGGCGTGCCCAGTGGGTATATAGACACATGTCCATTCACATATCACGCAATGATCACACATGCATACGTGGTAATCAACTTATATAACTTATAACATATAACATATATATGTATGTTCAGGGATGACGACAGCGACCCGATGTCGGCAATGCTCCCGGCCGGGTTTGTGCTGCAGAGCCCCATCGTATGAGGACCCTCTCCTGTCTCCAGCCCTCATCTAAAATTGCCAATTGATATGTGTGCTCACGCTGCGAGGCCTTTCTTTACGTGGTGGCCAGGCGAGCGCCATCCGTGTAGTGTCCACAACGCTGGCCATGCTGCCCGTCGACATCTTCGTCAACGTCAACCGAATCGGTACTCCTGTCTGTCTGTCTTCCCTGCTATGATTCCCCCCTGCTCACGAGGTGGTTGGTGCTGAAGGCAAGATCGAGATCCCGACTATGATCATCCACGGGACCGACGACGAGGTGGTGCCCTACTGGCACGGTACCGAGCTGTACGCCAAGGCGGGCAATCCCTACAAGGTACCACCAGTGCAGTCCCTCTTTTCATTCATTCCTATCATTCCTCACTCTTTCTTACCTTACGCTCCCTTTCCAAAAGTTGATCAGCCTGGAGGGGGCGGGACACAACAACGTCGAGTGCGACTTCATGGCGCCGCTCCTCAGCGCGCTGCAGGCCTTCTTCGTCCATCTCGAAGCCCAGCGACAGGAGGACGAACAGCAAGAGAGCCGCAAACGAGGAAAGAAGAAGGTGGAGGACACCGACAGCGACGACAGTGACGATAGCGACGACAGCGGAGAGGATAACGAAAACGAAACCAATCAAGACGATTGAAGTTTTAATTCGCTTTTTCCTTTTTTGTACAATTATTTCTTCCACAAAAGAAAAAAATAAGAAACAATTTGGTCAATTTTAGTATTTTGTTATTTGCATTTTCATTCACATGGAGAAGCCACAGAGCAAGAGCGACAAGAGCTACAAGCTGATGGTGGTGGGGGCGGGCGGGGTGGGCAAGACCGCGCTTCTGCTCCTCTTCACCCGCATGCGCGACCGGTACTACCCCGACGACTACGACCCCAACTTCGAGCTGACCTTCGCCCGCGAGGTGGACGTGGGCGACGAGTCCTGTCGGTTGGACCTGCTCGACACCACCGGCGGCATCGGGGCTCCCGGCACCGATAGCGACCTCCAGTCCCGGTACTGGGCCGGGCAGGTGCCGACCGCCGACGGCTTCCTGTTGGTCTACGCCATCAACGCTCGCCAGACCTTCGAAGAGCTGCCGGCCGTCCACGCACACATCGTAGAGTTGCTGAAGATGAAGAAGAACGATGGCGATCATGACGGTGACGCGACGCAGACGCCACCACCGGCGGTGGTGGTCGGGAGCAAGTGCGATCTGGAGGACCGGCGCGTGGTGCACCCGGATGAAGCCAAGGAGCTGGCGCGGTCGTTTGGGGCCAGCTACATCGAGACCTCGGCCAAGGCCGGCATCAACGTGGACGAAGCGTTCATCGAACTGGTTCACCAGATTCAGCTTCGTCAAGCTGCATGTCACCGCCACCGCAAGTCCAACAAGACGAAGAAGTGCCTCCTCTCCTGACCTTCGCCTCATCTCTCTCTCTCCGTGTACATGTGTCTCTCTTTACTATGAATCGATGCCGGCAGGGTGCTGGAGCTGCGCTTCCCGCCCTTCAACGGCTCACTGGCCTACGACCCAACCTGAACGTGCTCCTGGGCTCGGACCGAACCGCCGTCGACGGCGACGGAGCAGAATGCACCGACGCCGCCGGTCTGGTGGTGGCCGTCCTCCTGGGCTCGGAATCGGCGTCGAGGAGCGCAACGTCGAACACTTCCATCTTGGCCACGGCAGTCGATTGTAGAGAAGGGTCGGCCGATGATGGTGATGGTGATGGTGATGATGATGAAGCGGTAAGGAGCGGATGAAGTAGGTGGTCATGTTGGCCTTGGGCACTCCGCTCTGAAGTGATCTTGGCGTTGGGGTCGAGAAGTGAGATCGATGAGGAAGAAGCGAGAAGGCTCGTCAGGCGGTCTCGTATGGCGGTGTGATAGGTGGACGAGGGCGCTGTGAGAGAGTTGGAGGACAGGCGAATGGACCACTTGACGGCATGATAAGTGATCGCCAAAAGGCTTGCCTACTTTATGCTAGGCGCTTGACAACAAGCTGGATTGGGTGGTGATAACCTGGCAACCTCATCAAAACCGTGTGTTGTCAAGCCACACAGCAGCTGATCACCCAGGATTTCTTGCACAAGCGCGGGGATTGGTACAATTTGTTGTGTACAGGAAGCCAGCCGTGGGGGGGGGGTTAGACGGCGTGGTGGTCGGGACCAAGGAGAGCGTCGAGCTGCGTGACGACGTCGTCCATCGACGGCCGCTTCTTGGCCTCGGCGTGCCAGCACTTCTTCATGAGCTTCTTGAAGGCCTGACCGCAGTCGCTCGGCACCGCCGGCCGCCGACCCTCGAGCACGTCGAGCGACACGCCCATGAAGTTGCGGCCGGCAAAGGGCTGCTTGCGCGTGAGCACCTCCCACATGATGACGCCGAACGAGAACACGTCGGCCTTCTCCGAGTACTTCTCGCCCCTGATCACCTCCGGCGCTGCAGCCATTACGACGAACAAGATGTGAGCACAGAATGAATGCGAAAAACAGAAAAAGAAAAGAAAAAGAAAGAAAGCGACGAGGGGCGTACCGGTCCAGCAGGGAGTGCCGCAGCGGGTCATGGTGGCGTTCTCCTCCTTGATGCGCGCGAACCCAAAGTCGGCCACCTTCACGTTCATGTTCTCGTCCACCAGCAGGTTGGACGGCTTCAGGTCGCGGTGCACGATCACCGGCTGCAGCGAGTGCAGGTAATTGATGCCCAGCGCCGCGCTGTGCAGCAGCTTGAGCTTCTGCGCCCAGGCCAGCTTGACGCTGTTGTTGGCCAGGATGTCGCGCAGGCTGCCGTTCTTGACGAACTCGGTCACGATGCACAGGTTGGGCCGCTTCACGCACGCCCCTGTGTTTGTTGTTTCATGAGAAAAATGGCGCACCAAAGTGAGACGCGAGGGGGGGGTTGGGGGGTTGGGAACATACCGATGAAGAGGACGATGTTGGGATGGTGGAGCTCGGACAAGAAGGCCATCTCGGCGCGGAACTCGAGCATGCGCCGCTCGTCCAGCTTCTGCTTGATGAACCGCTTCACCGCCACCTCGACGCCCTTCCACTTGCCCTTGAACACCACCCCGTACGACCCCAGCCCCACCTGTTGTTGTTGTTGTTGCGCGCCACCACTTCTATGTCAGCGCATGCTGCTTGCGTTGGGTAGGGTTGGTTTAGGTGTGGTGGCGCGCACCTGCTTGCCGAGGGCGATCTCGTTGAAGTCGATCACCCAGCGGCACAGGTTGGCCGACGTGAGGAAGTTGTCCTCCTGGAACATCATGCCCTCGCCCACCACCGCCTGCATCTCCCCATCGCTGCTCGCGCTCGACATCGAGGAGTGTCCCTCGCCGCGCGCCTCACGCTCGTCTCCATCCTGCCGGCTCTTGCCCCCGCTCTGCTGGTCCAACGAGGGACTCTGATCCGAGTCCTTGTTGTGTGCTCCGCCTCGCGACACGCCGCCGAAGAATCGACCATCGAGGCCTCGCGGCTTCAGCTCGTACAGCTTCGCCCCTACAAGTCGTTCACCCATACCGCACACACCGCATACGCACGTGTGATCAGATTGTTGTCGACTGGGAAAGTTACTGCTGTGCGGTGCGTGGGTTGGGAGTTGAGGCACAATGACCGGGGGCGGGCGGGGGGGGGGGTACCCTTGGGGGAGTCGGGCATCTCGAACTTGCCCAGGCACACCATGCGCTTGGCCTCCTTGCTCGCCAGCTCGCTCTCGCCGCGCACCTTGTCGAACGTGGCCCCCGACAGCAGGATCTGCCCGCCGTGCGTCATCGCCGTGATGCGCGCCGCCGCGTTGATCACCGGCCCGATGTACTCCACGCGCCTTGTCATCGGGTCCCGCACCATGCGCGGCTGCCCCACGTGCACCCCCATCCGCACCCGCAGCCCCTTGAACAGCACCCGGTCGTCCGTCGCCCCACTCCTCGGCGGCACCCGGGTGGTCGAGCAGGGCCTCGGGCCATGCGAGCTTGACGAGCTCCTGCTGGGCCTCCATGCACCACTCGAGCGCGTCGGTCGTGTTCTGGAAGGCCATGCAGAACGAGCCCTCCCCGCTGTTCCTGTCCCTGCCTCGTTACACAGACACAAAAATAAACAAATAAGTCCAGTAATCTGAAGAGAGAGAGAGAGACGGTACCGGATGAAGACGACTTCGTAGCCGCGGTGCTTCTTGAGCAGCGACCGCATGGTGTCGTTGTGGAGGAGCGTGGCGTCGCGCATGGCCTCGGCGTTGAACTCCCACAGCGAGGCAGCGCGCGTGATGTCCGAGAACACGATCGCCATCTCGCCCTCTGGCGCGCGCACCCCGCCCGCCGCACCACCGCCACCGGATGACGCCGCCGACCCTCGCCCTGCACGCTCCCCCCCCCACTTTCACGTGAGACAACGCAAACGGAGGGGGACTCCTGGTTGGCTGGCGTTGCGCGTACCGTCGGAGCTGGAGGAGCCCGTGCTGGTGTTGCTCGCCGACCCGCCCGATGGCGTGGTCCACGATCCCAACCGATCAACGCCGCCGCCCGATGAAGACGAGGTCGAGGTCCGGGTGAGCGACGACGTACCGCCCTCACCGCCGAGCGCGCTCAGTCGCGTCATCACCTCCTGTGTCGTGTTGGCGCCGAACAACGACCGCGCCTGGTTGTGAGCGAATTTGCCAAAGGCCGGAAGCGTGATGTGTGCGTGGCAGGTGTGGCGGCAGGGTACCAGGAAGGAGGGGCGAACGGTCGGGTCGTGATGCCAACAGTTGCGGATGAGCTCCACGAACTCGGCCGGCACCGAGGTTTGCTCGAGTTCGGGCAGCGGCGGTCTCGTGTTGTCCCTCAGCACCGCCACTGCCACCGCCGCCGGACTGACACATGACCGCGCACCACCACCACCCGTCAGGCCCGCTCTTTACCGGGCCACTCTAAGGGGAATGGCGGAGGGAGTGACGTGCGTACCTCATGCCCATGTAGGGCTGCTGCCGAGTGCTCAGCTCCCACAAGATGATGCCGAACGAATAGATGTCGGCCACCATGTAGTCGATATCCATGGCCTCGTTGAGGATCTCTGGCGCCGTCCAGTGCACGCTGCCCTGGACCTCCTTGGCCGCGTTGCGGTTCATCTCCTCCTTGAACTTGGTCAGGCCGAAGTCGCTCACCTTGACGTTCCACTTGGAGTCGAGGAGCAGGTTGAGGGACTTGAGGTCGCGGTGCACGATGCCCGACGAGTGGAGGAAGTGCATGCCCTTGGCCGCCTGGTAGGCCATCTTGTTGCGCAGCGCGAACGGGATGTCCGGGATCAGCTCGTTGTGCAGCAGCTGTCCCCCCCCCCCAGCGGTCCCACCACCACAGCCCACCACAACAGTGCAGGTGCGCAAATTAGGAACGGGAGCATTTGAGTAGGAATTTTGGTTGCGTGGGAGTAACGTACGTCAAAGAGGGAGCCGAGGGCCATGAGCTCCATGACGATGCACATCTTGGGCGGCTTGGTGCATGCCGCCATGAACAGCACCACGTTGGGATGCCGCAGCGCCGTCATCACCCGCACCTCTTCCTTGAAGTTCCGCTCCAGCTCGCGTCCGGCATTCTCCGAGATCATCATCTTCACTGCCACCTCCGTGCCCTTCCACATGGCCTTGCGCACTTCACCATAGCCGCCGGTGCCGAGCTGTTCGCCCATCTCCAGCTCGTTCATGTCCACCTCCCAGTCGTCCTCCTTCTCCGCCCGCTTCATCCACACCGCCAGGCCCACGATGATGCAGCACAGCACCACCAACGCGATCACCGCCGCCGGGATGATGGAGCCCAGGATGGCCCCGAGCGGCACGTCGCTCGTGTTGCTTGCGATGGCGACCTCGCAGTGGTCGCCCTCAAAGCCGGTCTGGCAGAAGCAAGAGCCGGTGCCTTGGAGGTCCTGGTTGCACAGGCCGTGGTCGGAGCAGAGGGTGCCTTGGTAGATGCAGCCGTACACGGAGCTCACGTGCTGGCCCTTGCACGTCATGCCCGCCACAAATTCCAACAGCCGTGCTCGCGCGCCCTTCGACTGTCCCGGCACTCCCAGATAGTTCCTGTTGTTGTGTTCAAGACAACGGCCCACCTGATGAGCAGTTGCTGTGTGTGTGATCAGGCAGGCGCGACGCACTGTGCGGCCAGGTTCAGGGCGTGGGGTCGGTCTGGGTCCAGAAGATCCAGTCGACGAGACCGCGCGCCTTGACGCAGTCGGGCATGGTCGTGTGGTGGACGATGAACTGGTGATAGGTCGCCATCGGCCAGCTCTTCGCGCCCGCACCTGATTTGTTGGTTGGTTGGTTGTCATGTAAGCGCCTATTGGTGGATTGGGGTGCAACCCACATCACCCGAGAAGTTTGCACGCGTGAGTGTGACCACCAGACGAACCATTGATGAGATCGACCACGCTCGCGTCAGCGCTGAAATCGTTGATGGCCGACTGCAGACTCTCCGCGTTGGCGACACGCGGTTGCCTGCCGGGTTGACGAAGTCGGCCACGCCCAGCTTGCGGTTGAGCCTCAGCTTCTCGTGCAGCCACACGCCCATGGCGTTGGTGGTGCTGGACAGTGTCGGTGTCGGGTCGCTCACGTTGATGACCAGTCGTCCGGTGTCTTGGATTGGCAGGTGCAGGTTGTCGTCATCAGGACCCACCTTCACGACCAACGATGAGAGTGATCACACATACACACACACCCTGTGAGATACTCACAATCACGCGAGGAGAATACACAATCGCGCTTGGAGAAGGAGGAGGAGGAGCTGATCTGCTACCGTTTGGTCGAAGAGAGCGCTCGCGGCGCGCAGCGACTTGATCAGGACTCGCATGATCAATGGAGTCTGGCCGGGAAGGGCGACGGTGATGGGCGCGCTGGGCAGGAGACTGGTCAGCGTGGGGTTGAGCTCGCGGATGGCCGCGTGGTTCCAGGTGCCGACGGTGCCCAGCAAGATGTCAGCCAGCGTGGTGAGGTTGAGCACCAACGCGCCCTTGCCAAGCAGCCCCGGGATCTGCGCACGCACAAAGGCCCCCCCCCGGTACCATGTATGAGAGCGGTTCTAGTTTTTGAAAAAAATCAAAAGGATGGCGGGCGTACGTTGTAGCCAACGGTTACGGCGTAAGCCACGACCGGCACCTGCACCACGTCCGAACTGTCCCGCTTCGTGGCGGTGGTGAACTCAGCCAACGATCCGGTCACGGCGCCGAAGTCCACGGTATCTGCGGTGAGGCCGATTGGATGGGGGGGGGTTACATCATATCAGACCACCAGCAAACATAAGAAACGATCGTGATGCAATGGTTGACGTACAAGCTTGCAAGTCGGCAATCGCCAACGATGTAGGATTCTCAAAGTACTTGAGCTCGATGTTGGACGACAAGTAGGCATCCATCCACGCCGGGTACAGGTTGAAGAGCAGGCCCTCGCCGATGAGCATCGTCACGTCGAACGCACGATTGCCGTTGCATGTCACCAGGCCCATCAAGTCGATCATCTTCCTGTGAAATGTGTGTCCCCATTTTGTGGCCGTTTTCCGTCTGTTAGTTTTCTTGCAAGAAAAGATGGAGTCCTCCAATGGAGACCTCCAGCCAAGCAACGAACGAGGCAGGTTTGCAAAGGTGTACGTTTTGTATCCGAAGGGCAAGGGCACCATGTTGAGATCACTCTTGACTGCGGCGATGACGCGCGGGTTGAGCTGCGACCATGCGATGAAATCCATCAGGCCCTGATGTACGAGCAGTCGGGCAGGTTGTTCGACACGTTCACCAGCACGAAGCTGACCATGCATATGGGCCACGATGCCGAGTTGTTGCCGTTGATGACCTCGAGTCCGAGGTAATCAGACTCGAGGTTGTCGGTCACTTCGTTGAGGGCTGACTCCACCGCCGCAATGGTGGAGTCAACAGTTGTGCCTGGATGATGGTGGGACGGGTGGTGGTCAACGCAGGTGATCAACACGTCGCCCGCTTCCCCATTTGGGTTGGAGAGAAGGAACGCACCAGCCTTGTTCTTCATCAGAGCGTACTTGGCGCCAATCTGATCCGCGACGTACCTCGTGGTGTAGCCCATGCTGTATGGAGTGTTCTGCGCATGCCGAAGAAAACCAAGCAAGATGCACACGCAAGCACGCACGAGGTCAGTTGAAGAGAATCCAGTCTGCAAAGAACTGAAGAGCATCAAGAGAGCACCTTGACGTAGAGGGCTTGGGCCGAGCCAGCGGTGCCCGTGTTGGTCACGTGGTCCTGGATGCCAGTAATGTTGACCCAGGGATCGGTAGCCGTTAAGTCCCACAAAGCGGCAAAGGCGGGACTGAATGCGCTCATGGCGTTGCCGAAGGTCAGGAGATGCCGGCGATGGAGTCATTCGAGCGGGCCAGGAGGATGCGCTCGGCAGGGAACGTGGTGCCGTTGTTGAGCTGCTCGATGCGCGTGTCGTTCCACCACACGATATCGCCCACCCAGATGGCGCCCAGCGTGGGTCCATCCAGCACCTATCACGGCAAAGTGCCCGCACGGTGAGGCACCACGCAACACAGCTCACAGGTGCTGTCTTTGGGGAGGGGCGTACAAGAGTGGTAACGGAGGGACCCAGGTTGTAAATGGGCACGATGGGCTGGGCCATCATGGGCAGCATCGTGAGGCCAAAGGCCTAAGACCGTCCTTGGGGTAGCCTGCATCTGTGACGGCAAAGTCCTGTCGGCAGAGAGGAGGGGGCGAGCATTCAATTTTGAGAAATGTGAATCAACGATTATGGGTGAAACGATCAAGGGTGGGCGTACGAGAATGCCTGAGTTACCAACGTAGGTAATAACAGCAGTGTCTGAGCTGGACTCGTCGTAGCTCACCGCCACCACCTCGTCGACGAACTGGCGACGAGGAAAAGAAAAATGTCTTCGCTTGTAAAAATGGTGCGCGGAGTAAAATGATGATGATCCAGGTACGTTCTTGTACCTGGTAGTTGGTGCTGAGGTAGTCCATCAGCGGCGCGGCAAACGTGCTGCCGCCTCCCACGACGTTGGTCGTCGCTTCTTGTACCATGGTGCGAGAACGAAGTGGCACGGTACACCACAACAAGGGGTTAGGGTCAGTTTTGCGCCTGTCGAGATATATATCGAAAAACTGTAGCGGTTTGGGCGGTGCCTACCTCGCGCTTGCAGGAGGCACGTCGCGAGGAGGAAGAAGAAACAGGTCGCCGCCGCCCAGCGCGACGACCTTACGCTGCTCGTGGCCATGATGCTTGTTGTGGTGTTTGTGGTGAAACTAGAACTGAACCGCGCAGCAGCGTCGTGAGGCTCTGTTGTCGCGGCTGTAACGGACCTACCGTTGCGGACGCCAAGTTTGCCTCCGGCCGCGGCCCATTTTTCACCGCGGTGCCGGAACGGAAGCGTCAGAACATAGCTGTGGAAAAGGTGAGGCCTGGAGCAACCGAGGGTCTCGCGTAGTCAACTTTAAGAGATGTCAATCCGAACACGAGGTGGTTGGCCCAAACGATCTGCACCCCAAACCACTGGCATTGGCCGGGCGGAGTTCTAGAGATGAATCCGCGATCTGCCAGCACGACGAAAGGCCATGGCGACCAACCAGCAGCTGGTGGTTCATTTGGTGAATGGTAGACGCGGGAATGACTTCGCACAGTGAGCAGAATTGGGATAATTTGCTTAAGTTTTTACCCTTGGCCTCAGCAATGCAGGCAGCTCCTTGGGGGCAAGGACAGCCTTGCAGTCCTGTGGAGCTTGAGCTTCTTTTGCTGCCAAACAAGTTCTTGTGTTGCATATTGCTTATGAACAAAGGTCAGTTGAGTGGTGCATTAGAGAAGAACTTAAATGGTGTGATGAAAAAGGGCAAACAACAGATGTACACACATCTACAGCCACATTGAAAAGAAGAAGGTAAAACACTGCAGAAAGGTGCTCCTGATATGGTTTGTGTAAGTTGTGATATCTTTTGGTAGGGTGGCTGCAACTTAGTGATGAGGAAGGGGAGCAAACCAGTTGGAATGGATGTGAGAAGCTGGTATGGCTCAGAGTAGGCTCCTTGGGTGTGGTAGGCTTTGTCCCAGATCACTGGTTTGCCTGAAGCATCACAGAAAAAATGGAAAACATGGGGTGGAGTGACCAGTCAGGCCATGCATGTGATTTCCAAGCCAGCTCTTCCAGTCCCAAACAGTTTCAAGGGTATGCAGGGAAGGAGCTGGGCTGGTGGATCAGTAAGCCTGCTCAAGAAAACCTGAAAGTTGACTGAATTTGAAGATGAAGTTAGGAAGGTGAACAAAAAGGGGCAATCATTAATGCTGACAGAAAAAACCAATGTGCATTGGGTAATGAGTCAACAAATAAAAAACCTGATGTGCATCAGGAAAACAATCAACACAAAAAAAGAGTGATGACCACTACCTTGGGGTGTGAATGGAAGAGGTATGGAACTTTGTCTGAGCAGTGGAGAAGAGCTGGTTGATGTCTTCATGTGTATGCCCAACCAACAGAAAGCTCAGGTAGACCTCTTGGAACA